TGTTTTGCTTACGGCCATATGTGTACATGTAAATGAACGGTGCTTACACTATTCGTACTTATTGCAACATGACAACATTTTTGTAAATTATATTCTGTATAGGGACAGCTGAGGAAACCCGAAGGCTCATACGTTTTCGAGGTGAAAACGAACATCTGTTTTTAAAGTCCAAATACGGCGCAAAAAAACTTTGGGAGTGAGTAATCTTTACATGCTACGATGCTGACAGCGACATCTTGGAATTTGTGATAAACATCGGAGCATGTCCTCTGACGTAACGTTAGGAGGTAGTGACAATGGATGATGACGTATAACAGTGTAGTAGTGGTGTCCCATTTCTTAGGGGAAATTTTTTAACCCTACCCCTTTCCACTTCATTTCAAGGGGCAAGGGGAAGGGGTGAGGGGTAGGCAAAGGGGTAGAAAATAGAATTGGGATTGGGCCTAAAGGTCAGGCAGCTCAAGGGGCTGAGATCCTGAGGATCGTCGGCATGGCGGAGTTTGAAAAGTACTTACAATTGATGCATGTGTTTTTCTGTAATATCTTAAATTTCCTTTTGCAAATCATTGCAGTGCTTCAGTGCTCAAATGCACTAGTTCACTGGCCATTTAATTTAGCTGCAGAAATAGTTAGAAAACTGGCATGACTGATCTGTAAATACCCCCCCCCCCTTGTGGTGAATGTTTGCCACTACAGGAAGTAGATCTAAACTTTACATCAGTGAAATGTGAAGGGGAAGACATGTAACCTCCACACACAACCCAGAGGTGTGAGGCAACAGCACCAACCACTGCGCTGTCATAAAGAATCAACATACACTATGAGGAAATATCAGGACACCTGGCCATTACACCTACAGGAACCTTTATGAGATCCCACTCTAAATCCATAGGCACCAATATGGAGCTGGTCCCTCCTGTGCAGCTATAACAGCTGCCACTCTTCTGGGGAGGCTTTCCACAAGATTTTGGAGTGTGTTTGTGGGATTTTTTGGCAAATTCATCCAGAAGAGCATTTGTGAGGTCAGACACTGATGTTAGACATGAAGACTTGGCTTGCAATCTCCGTTCTAGTTTATGCCAAAGATGTTTGATGGGGTTGAGGTCAGGGCTCTGTGCAGACAAGTCAAGTTCTTCCACAACAACATCAACTAACCATGTTATTATGGACCTTTATGCACTGGAGCGCAGTCGTGCTGGAACAGAAAAGGGCCATCCCCAAACTAAAGTTTCCCTAAAGTTGGAAGCATAGAATTATCCAGAATGTTGAAGCATTAAGAGTTCCTTTTCACTGGAACTAAGGGGCCAAGCCCAACCCCTGAAAAACAACCCCATACCCTTATCCCTCCTCTACCAAACTTTACAGTTGGCACAATGCAGTCAAGCAGGTAACGTTCTCCTGGCATCTGCCAAACCCAGACCGTCAAACAGAGAAAGGTGATTTGTCAATCCACAGACCATGTTTCCACTGCTCCAGAGTGCAGTGCCAACGTGCTTTACACCACTGCGTCTGACACTTGTCATTGTGCTTGGTGATGTGAGGCTTGCATGTAGCTGCTCGGCCATGGAAGCCCATTCCATGAAGCTCCCAGTGCAGAGTTTTCTGCTGGGTTTAATGCCAGAAGAAGGTTGGAACCCTGCAGTTACTGAGTCAACAGAGCGTTGGTGAGTTTTACACAATATGCACCTCAGAACCCTGCGACCCCACTCTGTTACTTTACGTGATCTGCCACTTCATGGCTGAGTTTTTGTTATTCATAAATGCTTCCATTCTGCAATAATACCATGCACAGTTGACTGTGGAATATCTAACAGGGAAGAATTTTCATGAATAGTCTTATTGCAAAGGTGGCATCCTATCACAGTACCACGCTTGAATCCACTGAGCTTTTCAGAACAACTGAATGAAACAGCTGAAGTCTGAATGAAACAGCTGAAGTCAATGACTGAGAAGTGTGTCCCAATACTTTTGTCCATACAGTGTAGTATAGTATCCCAAGCTTTCCTCACCTGTGAATTTCCTTCATAGAAGAGCACCCTCTACATGTGATTAGTATGTAATAAATAATACAGTCAGTGTTGGTTATTATAGATAATGAATCATACATCCCTGTGAACAGAAGGCACCCCATCTAAAGAGGGATTTTTTGTATATTTGTATATAAATGCCTAAAGAGTATCATTGGGCTTTCTACAGATTTACTATCTCTTGTAGGATCAGGAAAACCCAAAAATTCTGTAGTAATAAACAGACTGTTTCAAAGGTTTTAAATTTATTTGCATTTTGAGTTGGATATAAATGTACCAAATACTACTACAACAAGGAAACTCATTTCACACACTAAAACAAAATGTGGAAAAAATAAACACAACTGTCTGGACCGGCCACATCAGCCTATCATGTCCCCATTTGACCAGCAGAGGTCGCTGGCTGTCCCGTAATCACCTAATTACTCCCAACCTAATGTGTCAGCCACTTACTCCTCTCTCTGGTTTATTTATCATTACCTGTGTATATATGTGCCTGCCCTTGCCCTGCTTCCCAGATGGGTCGCTGTAGCTGTTATTTGTTAGCCACAGTGAGTTAGCATTAGCCCTGCCAGTACCCTGTCCTACTGTCCCCCAGGTAAGTCCTGCTTCCTCCTAGCTGTTTCCCCCTTTAATTTTGTTTGATCCCTCGCAGTCCTTTGATTTCCCATTACTGCGCATTTTTGTGTGCAAAAAAGCCCCGAATATCAAAACCACCAAGCCGCTCGTGGATCGTCGCTCCCTCCCGACACCCGGTCGTGACAATAAGGCGGCATCACTGGCCCATTATGTGACGGAAGTGTCACGGTTAATGCATTTAAGATTTGCCTTGAACCGAGGATGAGCCACCACATCCTGCCTTTGCACCCCTGTCCCCTTTGATCTGATCAATAAATGAGCAATAAATGCAATAAATAAGCTGAATGTAATAAATAATAGCATATTGTATAGTATTATAGTGTGTCATTTCAAAAGTGCTTCCTGGGATGTGCTTCAGGTTTTATTTTATTGTATCAATGACTGAAATGTAATATCTCTACAGCCTATTTTATCACAAAAGGCAAATTTTAATCAATGGTGTCTCTTTCGGCAGATGATGACCTTAAGAATGTCCTTGTTCTGGTTTCCTGTTCAACTGCTTTTCCTCAACAGCAGTAGAAAAACATCAGTGCAGTTTGATGATGTGTGTTATGCTATGATACGCTGGTGCAGGATATCTGTGCCAAACTGTGCTGTATGTAAAAGGGTTAGAATTAGGGTTAGGATTAGGATTAGGGTTAGGATTAGGGTAAGACATGCTGTGAGTGATCTGAAAATGGGATCATATGCATAAATCATCTGTTCTGCCATTTTATTTAAGTCACAGTTTTCTTAATGGTCACTAAGACGTACAGACATAGACTAGGCTGGCTGGACCCAGTTATGCGGTTAACTAGCAATAATTACTAGAAGAACAAAGTAAGAGTTTAAAAACCACACAGAATGTTAGGCTAAACCTAGGCCTGAGTGGGTCAACAAAATAAGAAAATCAACAGGGGACCCAGTGGCTGCCAGGCCCATGAACAAATAAGCATCAATATGGAGGAATAGGCTCTGCAACCGGCCTGTTTATTCAGGCAGCAGTGCTTGTTAACTGGCAGCGCTACCAGGCTGCTAAAGGCTGCAGACGGCATCCAGAATGACTGTGTCTATACAACCACAGCTCCCTCTGCTGGACGGGAAAAGGAACACTGGCAAAGTACAGACTACATCCCCTGCTGTATTCCCGGATTTTCTTTGTTGTCAGGCTGCAAATCAAGTTTTCCGCTACCCCAGCTTTCCCTGCATAACCTCACCCGCTGTTCTTTGAGGACTCAATTGATTTTATATAACCACTTTCACTGCACAGTCAGCCCAGCGCACTTGACAAGAGTGTGTGGCCATCCATTACTGTATCATTTATAAGAAATGGTGCCTAAAACATGGAATAGGGAATGAAAGAATACCAGCAGACAACAGGAGAGAGCTGGGCTGGTCCGATGTAGTGGCCTAGGTGAGCATCTCCACCAGCACCCCCTTGTGGGGGTCCAGTGGTAACTGGCTGCCTAAACCCTCTGGGCATATTGCCATTATAGAACATAAGGAGCCTGCTGATGTGAGTCTATCAGTGAGCCAATTCTTCGAGCAGGTCTGTGCATGCAGGCAGATCGTACACTGCAGCCAGTGACACAATTTGTAAGCTGCATTCGTGATGAAAATCTGTAAGAACACAAAGGCTCAGCTATTATTAATCCACATGTTCTACCTTTTTCTCATTTCATTGGTTGCATCTTCTAGCCTGCAAAATTTGTGCAAGAACAATGTAATGTATATATGCAATTCGGCAGAATCGGGACATGCATTAAGTCCTAGCATGACATGATTAGGGCCTCGTCGCTCCAACTTTGCTTGCGCGTTAACATGCAACTGCAAATTTTAATTTCAGAAGATCAGAGTCTAGATCTGTGCAAAGGTAGATCTGGTGCAAATTCAGCATTAGAGAAAATCCAGATCTGCAAAACAAAAAACAAGCTACAGTTCATTACATCATCTGGAATCAAAGCAAACGCTGAGACACTAAAAAGAAAAGCAAGACCTTGCTATCAGGTGGGAGTCCAGCAGGTTTAAGTTTGCAGCCGACAATGCAACACAAATCCGCCTCCCTGAACCCAGTCCAATTCATATTCGGGCGAAACAGATTCATGGATGATTCAGTCTCCCCCCGAAACTGCTCTGGGATCCTCAGCACGGCTTTTAAAGCACCGTGCCATCCAACCTGGAGTTTAAACTAGCATGCCTCTATCTGAACGGCTCCCCTTGTGACGGGCAGAGACCACAGGCGATGAGAGCTGGCAGCCAGTAGTTATCCACGTTAATCATCAGCCCCGACATTCCGCAAGGCCGCTGCCTCAGCTTGCTGTTGTGTAACATGTTCTCTAACATCTGCATAGCATAGTGTGAGGGCAACGGCAATACCAAGTTTGTGGATGACACCATCGTGTTGGCTTCATCAGGGACGATGGCAAGGTTTTGTCAAGATGGTTCTGTCCTGCCCTGGTCCATATGTCATTGGCTAAGGGCCAACCTCAACTATTTATAATGTAAGAGTTTTTTGTTGTATACCTCTGGTTGAGTTATGTTGGTGTATGTCTGTTAGTTCCTTGTTTTTGCTCCTTGTTATCTCCTGCATCCTATTGTAATGTTTAGTTATCCTTGCTGTTCTAGTCTCCCTTTGGTCCACGATTGCTCCCCCCATCCCTCAGTGTTCTTAGTCTCTAGTGATTAACTCTTCCCACCTGAAATTGATTATCTGTGTATTTAAATGCCTGCCCTTGCTTTACTCTTCAGTTTGTCGTTGTAGCTGTTGTTGCCCTGTCTTTGCTGCTCTTCTACCATATGGCTGTTCCTGCGCTGCTCCTTGTCTTAAAGAAGGTAAGAAGAAAAACTGTTTTTGACCCCTTGTGGTCCATTTGTTTGTTGTGCTTTTTTTGTTGAGTTTAATAACGTACCATCCTTGTGAGCCACAACGTGGATTGTCTATCATTTATCATGCTCATCTCTACCAGGTTGCCTACAGGAGGAAGTTAAAAGACCTGACTGTGTGGTGCCGTAAAACAACGTCTCACTGAATGTTGATGAGAATATGGAGATCATCACCTTCAGACAGATCAGAGGTCTTCATTCCCAGCTACTCAGTCATGGAACTCCTGCCAAGACAGTCAGCTGCTTCAGCTCCAGCTTCATTTTCAGGAAGATTCAGCAAAGGTAGTTTTTTCTTTCTGAGAAGGCCAAAGAGCTTTGGGTTGAAAACCAAACCTTGGTGACCTTCTCCTGCTGCACTGCTGAAGCATCCCAACTGGATGTCATGGTGTGGTTAGGTAACCTAACTGCCCAGGATCTCAAACTCTTGCAAGGGACAGTCTCAGCCAATCAGATCGCTAAAAAACTGGTGACTTGTCCACCCCATAATCCCTGTATTGCACATCATTAATGTGCAACCTGCAAGTTGCTATTCCAAAGATAAAGTGATATAGTAATAGAGTTTATAGACATGCAAATGTGAATCAGGTGCAGAGTGTTAGGGAAAATCCAGCATCGTAAAATGAGTAATAAAGCTCTAAGGGTCAAACATTACAGAAACCAAAATCTAAACAAACCCTTAAACTAAAACTCAAAGGGCAAAGAGGAAAGGGCATGATAACCTGAGGGTGCCAAGTCATTAAGTATGAACTGGCAAATGTACACAGGTGCACACAATCAGGAATCCAAATGGTACATTTAGTATTTGGGTGAGGATGATTACTAGCAACTGCATGTGCTTCAATCCAAGGTCTGAGATGCCTTGACAATCAGGTATGTGCTCCACAATCTGATATGTCCTGAAAGTTCTCAGAGCTTGATAGAGTTTGCAAACTTTGTAAACAATTTGGCTATATTTCCTTTGTATTTTGCTTTTGAAAGCCTTGTTTAGTCTTGAACTGGGTTCTACTCAGCCCATCCTGATAATGTGCTTATCCACAACCTAGTACATAAGACCTATCGACATGTGAATACCCAGAAAGCAATCGATATTATTCTTGTTTTTTTTGATTATTTTTGTTACTATCAATGACATTCTGTTTTATTTCCACAGACCCCCCCCCCCCCCCTCAGAAATCCAAGGGTTTTCCTGCAATACAGGATCAGTCAAAAAAACACGTGTTACTCCCTGCAATTTTTCAGCATCCCACCCAAGTGCAGTCATCTGTGGTTTATCGGGGAACAACCCAGGATGGGGTGCCAACCCATCACAGGGCACAAGGCAGGGAACAATCCAGGATGGGGCGCCAACCCATCACAGGGCACAAGGCAGGGAACAATCCAGGATGGGGTGCCAACCCATCACAGGGCACCTCATTACGTTGTTTTAAGTTTATTTTGTGAAGTAGTTTCTGAGAAAACACGTTTTTTCATACTTATGACATAATGGATTTTTTAGAGATACATGTGATTCACTGAGCAGCGAAAATGTGCAAGAAGAGAGTATTAAATTATAATTTTGGGAGGGAGTGCCCATCTCTGAGGGCTTCTACACTGAGAAAAATAAATCTTTGGGTAAACGGAAATTATTCACGTCAAACATTTCCATCTAATCAAATTATACACACGTGTGTGTGTGTGTGTGTGTGTGTGTGTGTATTTAAAACATTAAGCCTGGGTCTGTAAAAATTAAGCCTACTAAAAATTTGAATATTAAATTAACAAAATTATTTGATTTATTCTATCCCAAGTTGTGGTCTGAAGGCAGTGAAAATTCACTCCTATAGCCGCTAGGGGCGCTCTCACTTTTTCTCGGCCCTGATAAATACTTAATATTGTGCAGTCTAGTAAAAACTTCAGTTGCTTTGATCAGACGTCAGAGAATTTAGTGAGATTAACTTAACTATGGGTATATTCTCAGAACACAAAGTGAATGCATCCACTTAAAAGGAATGTTTCATTTTCAGAATACTCATTCCAGTAGTGTGTAAACACTGCCCGAAATTCAACTGACTTGCTACATTGAAAGCAACGTATATTCAGTATGGTAAAACTGATGAAGTCCAAGATGAACTAACTTGGTTTCAGTAGAACAAACGAAACCAAATAAGTATGTTAGTCCAGCAAAAACTGACATTCGTACAACAAACTGAATCTGTATTTGTTTATACAGTATATTACTTTATACAGTATATTATTTTATATAGTAGGCTATATTAGTTTATACAGTAGGCTTAAATTTTGTTGTACTAAATTGTTGCATTGATTGATTCATATAAATGAAATTAATAACAATATATGAGTTTTTCAAATAACGCAATAAATACAAATTGAGTTTACGTCAATTGATTAGAAATTAAGAAACGTAAATTACGTTCACCCAATGATTTATATTTTGAGAGCTTCCCTATAAGATAGTTGCTTTTATCAGACCATATGATTGCTGGCCCCTTGAACTTTTAAAACTCTCGGCAGCCTAAAGAAGCGGTTTCGCCCCCTGGAGGCGTGAGCAGCAACGTAACGTTAGTAAACCAGAAATCCGTCTGTAGCGCGTCAGTCTTCAGGACCTGAACTGGTAAGATTGACAAGAAAAATTAATTGGCAGAAGGATCCGGGGCGTAGGGAAGAAAGAAGAGGGGAAAGGAAAACGAGACAGAGGTACTTCGTTATTGCGGCTACTGTAGTTAGTCGGATTCTTTTAAATTAGAATCTAGGTAGCTAGTTTTTACATTTCCCTTTTCTTGTGAAACATGCAGATGATAGCTAGTTAGTATAACTATACCTACCCTATGCGCCTGAAATGCAATTATTATAGATGTCAACCTTTGTTTTTTGGTGCCCTGTATTGTGAAATTCGTCATTCCAGTCTACAGTGTATAAATCTCAGCTATAGCCTACTCAGGTCCGGTATCGAGACCACATTTTCACTCTGGCTTATATCAGAAATGAAAGCAGTTCTACTCGCGTTTGAGTCGGTCTCGCACTCCGTTGTGCACTGTTGTATGGTGTGAATGACAATAAAGTGCACTTTTACTTATACTTACTACTGCATCTATGGTTCAGGTTCAGTAGGCTACATGCTAATAAAATACGACTAATAAAATAAAATTTATCTGTTATTCACCTTCATCGTATTAGCTGCATACTGATTTATTTTATTAATTTTTGAAACGACGGTCACGGTGGAGCGCTATTATTGTTCTTATGATGTTTGTGTGAGTTTTTCATTGCTTCGCCTTATCCTGTATACATTATCAGCTTTACATGTATCTGCTTGTAAAAACGGAACAGCAGGCACACTTATAGACGATCCTCTTTCTTTGTTTTCATTTTCCTGACTGCCTTAAGACATTACTGAGCTTATAAAACTGAATGGGGGAAAGATCGTTTTGTTCCGAATAGATCGCCACCCGTTCCGTATATTAGGGGGTTTCCCCGTAAGGAAAAATAAAATATTGAATTTCTTTCTGAATCAATACGGGACGCGATTCGTCTTATATTATGCGATCAGATAAGATACAAATAAGATTTCTTTATTGTCATTGTACAGAGTACAATCCATCTGATTGGCAGCCCTTTCTGTGCGTTCACACGAAACAAATATGTTAAAAAAACAGGAAGAAAAAAAAGCTACAGCTTAAACTGATTTAAAGTACTAAGAGAATAAATTATATATATATATAAAATGTGTAAGTATATTTATTTATATATAGTATAAATTATATATATATAGCATAAAGTATATTTAGTATAAATAGAATGTATTGTAATCTGAATAACATCTGAAGTATTTCACGGCAGGATATTGTCACAGGAGATATATGTACAAAAGTGGAAACACAGACAGCTATAAATACCACCACAGATGTAAATATCTAAACATAGATATAAATATGAAAGTGAAAGTCAGACCTTTTGGGGGGGGCGGTTGTACCCAATAATCAGTACCAGTCAATACAACGCCCTGGACCCCCTTACATGGGTGGAGGGGGGTTCCTTGCTGTGGTCTCTTGGAGATCCTGGCGGGACATGGGGGTTAGGAGAAGACGGACTGCTACAGCCCAGGTGGGCTTCTGAAAATTAAGCCTAGTAAAAATCTGAATATTAAATGAGGAAAATGATTTGGGGTGAGTTTCCCGAAGCGTTCTTAACGCTACGTCGTTCTTAACGCTACGTCGTTCTTAAGTTCTGTGTTAAAAGATAGAACTAACGAACGACGTAGCGTTAAGAAGGCTTCGGGAAACTCACCCTTGACTTGTTCTTCTGTCCGAGGACCCTGTCTATAAGTGAAGAGACCTCCACCATTATATCAGAGAAGTACTGTAGTGTGGCCCCACCAGCAAGGTACCGGCCCCAAGCACTGCTCCCCGGGTGCTGAATTAGCTGCCCCCTGCTATGTCATGGTGTCACATATGGGTTAAATGCAGAGGACACATTTCGTTGTTGTGCACTGTGTGCTGTGGTGTGACAACAATGACCACTGATCTCTAAATTCTAAAATATCTGCTCCAGGGAAAATGCACTCCTATAGCCACTAGGGGAGCTCTCACCTTCTCTCAACACTAATAATGTTATGCAGTCTAGCACTAGAACTACTATCTTGCGCAAATTTGCGTAAATTCCCTAGAACTCCCAACAGCTCCTCCTAAGCCTGCGCAGGCCTTCAGCCCCATTGTCCTCCTGCTTTTGTTGTGCAAACACACCAATTACCTGTGAACCTTGGCACATTTGCATTTGTGTACTCAGACTGCTAGCTCAAATCCAAGGCAGCTCGAACCTGTGTGTGTCATATGGGAACCTTCACTGAAGCCTGTCATATCTATACCAAATATCCAACACACTGACTGACCTAAAAAATAAAAGACACACATTCTAGTGCTAGCAACCGATTCCATCCATCTGTCCATCCATCACCGTAACCGCTTAATCCGAACCGGGGTTGCAGGGGGGACCGGAGTCTATCCCAGGAACAACAGGCGCAGGCAGGAACCAACCCTGAGCAGTGGCTAACACACCGCAGGGCGCACACACAATCACACGCACACACTCACGGGGCCAACTTAGAGTCGGCAATTAACCTATCCTGCACACTTTTGGACCATGGGAGGAAACCGGAGCCCCGGCGGAAACCCACATGAACACAGGGAGAGCGTGCGAGCTCCACACAGCCCGACCCGGGGACCGAACACGGGGAGAGCGTGCGAGCTCCACACAGCCCGACCCGGGGACCGAACACGGGGAGAGCGTGCGAGCTCCACATAGCCCGACCCGGGGACCGAACCCAGAACCTTCTCACTGTGAGGCAAGCAACCAATTCAGATGGTTTAATTAAACATGAGAAAATTTAGTGAGATTAACCCAACTGTGTTGTTTTCTCAGAAAATAAGTGAATGCATTAATTAAAAAATAATGTTTCATTTAAAAAATACTCATTCTAGTTGTTCGGAACTACTATACATGATTGAACTGGATTCATTCGAAGTAACTTTTTTTCACAGTGGTTGGCTGAAAGAAAACCTTGGTCTGGATTTGTGCTTTCTGGACCTGAACTTGTCTGTAATGGGTTACTTTTCTGAGTTATTTACTTAACACTGACTGGGCAGTCATCTGTTCTGTGATTAACAGAAGTGTCCGTGAATGGTACAGAGGATGTAAATGGACATTTTCCATTTTTTAAAAGATTTTTTTCTTACATTGTGCAGTTATTACACAAGAGAATTCTTGCTCATGCAGAGAAGAGATGGAGGGTGTGAGAGAAACAGAGGCAGAGGGAGATGAGCAGTGCATGTTACAGGCTCTGGGGAAGAAGCTGTCGCTGAGTCTGATTGTCCTGGGTTTGATGGAGCTGTAGCTGAAGGGTGTTTGGCCCAATCGAGGCAGCAGGAGGAGTACAGGGAGGGCGAGAGCAGCGCTGATGACATGCTGAAGCTGCCTCCCGTCGGCTTCAGTGCGGATCCTGTCCCACACTTCCTTGTTGCAGGGAATGATTGAAGATGCCGTCAGCACACACTTTCAGCACCTTCCCAATCATCCTGTGAGGACCAGCAGTGTTTCTCAGGGTCACTGACCCAGCATCCGCCTCTCTCCATGCTCCTGTTCAGTGAGTTTCTGTGCGTTGGAGTCTGAAGGGGCTGAGAGGGTGAGACTGCGTGCTGAAGCAGTTCAGCTCCTCTGCCAGTGAATCCTCTGAGTCCACAGACTCGGTGATGCCCTGCTTTCCCTGCCACACGTGCCCAGGGTCTTTTTCTGAGAGGAGGGTCTTCTGTCCTTCTCTTATTGGCCACTTTTGCTTCTTCTATTCCTCTCCTCTGCTCAGCTCTAGCAGCAGTTCTGTTACCTGACCTGAAGTCACGGTCTTTGAGGAGGGTCCTGACTTTGCTGGTCATCCAGGGTTTCTGGTTGGGGAAAACATGGATGCACTTCTCTACATTGGCATTATCATCACAGTACTTTGTATAGAACCCATTCTGTGTATTCGGCCCGGTTCTCATGTTCAGATAAAACCGTAGCTGAGAGTGTGCATCCTCAGGCCAGGTTTTTATGTGTGGCTTTGTCTTCCTCCTAGGGGGGGTGGTGTATGCAGGAATGAGGAGCAGAGAGAGCTGGTCTGACTGGTCTAAGTGGGAGGGTTATGGCTTTATGTGCATGTTTGGTTCTGGAGTAAACAATGGTCAAGTGTTTTCTGGAAAACAAAAGGATAATCCCTCCATTTTTAATATGCATCGTATTTTTAATAAAAAACATGTTGCTATTCAACATATTCTGCTCTCTTTTGACACACATTTATTGTATTTAATAACTTTGTGTTTATGTTTTGGTGGTGTTTTGAATAAGGTAGTTGTGAAAAATCTTGAGTTTTATAGGTGTAATATGTGTAGGTTTCAGAGTTATTATGCAAAACTATTATAACCCTGGTGGGTGTATGCATTTATTTTGTTGTGTTTAGGGACAGGATCAGTGGGGACGGTGCACTCAGCAGAATCTCACCCAGGGCGCCGGAACCCCCAGGGCGCCGGAACCCCCAGCACCGGCCCTGCTGCTCTCAAGGGCCTCCAGTGTAATAGACGCGTGAAGACATCACTGGAGACTCCGCCCACCCAGCATGTGACATCACTGGAGACACCGCCCACCCAAACCATAGGCTGTTTCCCCTGCTCCCATCTGGAAGGAGGTACAGAGCCTTTCGCTTCCACACCAGCAGGCTGAACAGCTTCTTCTTCACTGCTGTCACCTTGCTAAACTCTCAGCACCAGCCAACCCCACCCATAACCACCCATTCATAAGTATTTAAATGTAATGTTTATTATATATATATATATATATACACACACACACACACACATACATACACACACTTGTAGATGCTGTATATATTTATTTATACCACACTTTAGCTTACTTTATTTAAAATACTTTATTTCCTAAAATTGGATGTACTTTACTAAAAAAGAGCATGTTTAAATTTACCCCAAAAAAGTGGGTGCAAATTATTACCTCATTTTAACTGAGTAAATTCTGTAGGTTATTTTTTCAGTGTGTACACCATATTTCACTTTCAGATTAAATACCAAACTGCATTTTGTTCTTGGAGTGCTTCTGTTGTGTGCAATGAAGTTGAATCTTATCTAACCTAAATTTAATCTGAACAGTTTAACGTGAGACAGCAGAAACGCTTCCCAGAACTCAGCCGCTGTAAAGGCAGCTGTTCGATGGGTCCCTGCTAATTTCGACAACCTTATTCCTGCACCATCTGAAGTAAACGTCCTGCAGGGGGAGCAGATCAGCCGTCTTTCAGAGCTTTGTCATCCAGGGCAGAGCAGCTGCCAAACCAGGCTGAGATTCACGTGGTCAGGAATAAATGCAATAAATTATTTTTTAGGTTGCACATGGAAGTTGGTTTACTTGGTTGCAGAGTGGATCTCCTTGTGTGCCCAGGGCCATGAGTACCTCTCATAGCAGGCTGGGCCTTGTCTCAGGCCACCTGGAGTCTCAGGCCACCTGGAGTCTCAGGTCATCTGGAGTCTCAGGCCACCTGGAGTCTCAGATCATCTGGAGTCTCAGGCCACCTGAAGTCACAGGCCACCTGGAGTCTCAGGCCACCTGGAGTCTCAGATCATCTGGAGTCTCAGGCCACCTGGAGTCTCAGGTCACCTGGAGTCTCAGGCCACCTGGAGTCTCAGGCCACCTGGAGTCTCAGCCCTGTCATATGTGTGTGTGTGATCCTATAAGAGCTATACCTGCATTCTCAGCATTCTGCCAAACTAAATTTTCTTTCTGTTTTTTTCCCCCTAAACCAATCCTGCATACAGCCTAGCTTATTAAAGAGACGTTATTTAAGCATGTCAGGGACGAGCTTTTCGGGGTACCGCCCTACCTGGTGGAACAGAGGAAGACTTGGGGTGAGTGACACCTACAAATCCGTGGTGTTTGGTATCAAAGTTGTGTTTCAGTCCAGCAAGATCACTGGTCCTCTATTTTCACTGTTTGTTTGTTGCTCAGTCCCTTGCTGCTTCAGCCTGGTCTCTTTGCATGTTTCAGGCCAACAAGATCAATGTCCACCCTTTTCTTATTGAAATTATGAATGAATTACTGGATGATCAGTTGGAGCAATTCAAGTTGCACCTGAACACACAAGTACAGGAGGGATTTGAACCAATTCCAAGCAGTCAGTTAGAAGAAGCAGACCGAACATGTACAGTTCAAAAAATGAAAGACAGCTATGATACCGAGGGCTCTTTTAAGATAACTTACGCAATACTGAAGAAGATGGACATGAAAGACCTGTCAAATAAACTGAAGAATGTAATGAACATTGGTAAGATATACAATCCTTTGCTTTGTCCAATAATAGGATGACACTCCTTCCAGAAAATCAGTTTATTCATCATTCCAACCATCTAAAACCTAGAAGTATTTTTGGATATCTGGCTTCTTTATAGCAAGAAGTATGATTATATATGAGAATGGTGCTGTCTATTGCTCATGTCCTCCAGGCAGGTGTCCTCCAGGGAAGATCTGCATTATCTCTGTGGGAGCGACTTTCGTTTCCTTGACTTGGGAAACACACAAAGACCTGAGGAGCATCCAACACAGTTACAGCGTGACCTGGAAGGACAGCAGCACCAGCCAGTCCATCAGCTCAGATGAGAACCAGGTATCCGAACACAATCTGAGTGCAGGAACGGAGTACGTCTTCTCTGTGAGGACTACGCTGAAGGGCACCGATTTCACGAGTCAACCTGTCAGTATCAACATTTGCACAAGTAAGACTATACCTGTGTGTTTCAGTGTCAATTACAAGGCAATACTGTACATATTAAAATGCTGCTGTGGCAGTCAGGTGACAAGGACCCATTTGAGTTCTATGGATATATAAACTATAACAGCTGAGTTTTGTTTATTCTCTCAAAAATATATGTACCTAGAGCCTGATTTCAGTCTCTGTGCCAGATTTTTGTCCATATCATTTTTCTTTGACACATTTCTGTCCTTGCACCACATACCTTTCCCTTTCATTTGCTATATAACTTCCATTCCTTTGCATCCCTGTCATTTTGTTTGCCATCCTATAAATGAAGGCAAAATTGCAATTGAATTCAATGCCTTAAATTAAAATAACGCATTAATTAGATTAACATATTTCTTACTGTAATTAGTCTACGTTTGTCTTATATTATTTTGAGCTGTGATTGTAAAAATCCTCATTCAAACTGATCTGCTTTTTCAGTTCATATTTCAAAAACCTTCTTTGTCAGGTCACAATATGAAAGTGCTGCTGTTAGGAAGAACAGGAGTAGGGAAGAGTGCAACTGGGAATACAATACTGGGGAAGAAAAAATTTGCATCAAAAGCCAGCAAAAACTCTGTAACAATGAGCTGCGCTAAAGCTAAAGGGGAAGTTGCTGGGAGAAAGATGTCAGTGGTGGACACTCCAGGCCTGTTTAACACAAAGCTGAGCAAGGATGATCTCATAAAGAAGATCACAGAGTGCGTTTCCCTGTGTGCTCCTGGGCCTCATGCATTCCTGGTGCTGCTGCAGGTGGGCAGATTCACACAAGAAGAGCAGGAAACACTGAACATCATCCAGGAGGTTTTTGGCCCAGAATCAACTCGATACACCATGGTGCTGTTCACACATGGGGACGTTCTAGAAAAATCTGTTGATCAATATCTTAGTGGCAATAAAAGTCTCAATGAATTTGTTAAGAAATGCCAGGGTAGATATCATGTCTTCAACAATAAAGATGTATCGAACCGCACTCAGGTCACAGATCTGCTGAACAAGATCGAGGAGATGATACGAAAGAATGGAGGAGGTCATTACACCAACGAGATGTTCATGAAGGCCAAGAAGGGCAGCAAAACATAGTGGTTTTGAGAACCATGAAAAAAACTTGCAAGAAACAGTAACATTATTATTCTCATGAGCTGACAAAAAGCTTTGGATCCATTGTGGACCCCAAGGAACCAAAACTTTTCTCTTGTAAGATTTTGGAGCGAATGAGTGGCTCCCATAACTCTTTATAGAAATGATATTAATTAATAGCCTGAAAGGGCAGCAACCTCTTAATCCAGAAATTTCATGTGCTACAATGTGCTTTATAAATAAATTAGATAATAACCTCACTTGTATCTTTTATAGGGTTTTTTACATAATAATAATAATAATGAATAAGAAAATTTACTCCAGCATTATTGGTCTGGTTTGGAAATATATGTATGATCTTCATGAAATACCATAAAATTTTGATTCAATCAGAAATTCTATTGTACAGAGAGATTGTAAGATTCTTCAGTACTGAACTGAGTTTGGATCTCTTGGTTGTGAATTACCAAGGTCAACAGCGGAGAGAGCGATTAGTAGGTATGTATAAAGTTGAAAAGCTAACTTTGAAATATTGAAATATTATTGGCTAAATATTAATCTATGGTGTCTTTCCAATGTGATATTAAAAGTACAATGATACTCTTTGTTGGACTTCATTACTTCATTACTAGAGTGCGTTGGTCTCTGGCTTATGCACTGAAATTGCTCAGTTGTGGTGTCTGCAACAGTGTCCGTTTTCCTAAATGAAAATAAGACTGTTTTTAAGACTTAAGACTGTATTTAACTTAGGGTTGCTGAGAGTGAAAAACTGAAGCAGCTTTCTTAGCCAATGAAATTCAAAGCCCTGCAAACACTCAGCAGCAGGGTTTCTCCTGTGTCCTCTTCCACACCCTCGTGGTCCTTCTGGTCAGTTCTGTCTGAACACGTCTTCTGGGCAGGTCTCCAGCTTTCCATTCCCAGAAATCACCTAACAGCAACCTCAATCATCCTGTTTTAATTTTGTTCTCACACCCCTTCCTTGTTAAGCATTTCTTCCCCAGTGCATTAAGTCCCTGGTTCCTAGTTCCTAGCTTGTCTTCTGTCCCTGCCAAGTGAGCTTCTGTTTGCCGCTCTGCGTTTCCTGCTCTGCGTTTCCTGCTCTGAGTTTCCTGCTCTGAGTTCTGCCAGTGTTTGATTGCCTACCCATGTATTAAACTTTTGCCTGCCTACTGACATCATATCCTGCCTCTGGTCTTTTTGTGCCTTAGCCTTCTTGGAAGGTAGTAGTGTTACAGATGCTTAGCCTGTTCCTTGATTTTCCCCTTGCCTAGGGTTGTATAGACCCTTATACAACCTCTGTCTCAGGCTCTGGCCTGGGACCCCTGTGACAGTTCAGTGTGTGATGCTTTTAAAACGTTTTAGGAAAATCAGTACACATGAATAACATAAAAACGAGACGTTTTCTTTTAATTTTCTCTCATCTGTACCCTCTGCTAGACTTAATGTTGTGAGGCATTTCTCAAAAGTGATTGATAGCAGTTGTTCTTTTTCAGGGAAATAGTATGTGGAAAAAAACTAAGTTTATAATAATTAAATAGCAATTAGAAAAGCAGCTAGGAAGGCCAAGGCTGGACTTCTGCCTGCGCTAAACAGGTTGTATGGGACCCCAATTTTCTTTTGATTATCACTATGGCTGCACGATATCACACTGCGATATTATCGCGATAATTATTAAGGATAATCACCAGGGCTTTAGTTAACGAGTGTAAGAATTTGTCAGGATACTGACTTTTTGGTACTTTATGGATGTTTTACTTGCACCCACAAATTGATAAGAAGATTAGAAGTATGCCTGAAATATTAATCAGAGTTGTACCGTGACGCCCGAAATCTGTATAACTTCAACGTATCCTTATGTTTATTAAATTCCATTAGCAGAGCACGTCACATGCTGCTGTTTTGGTATATAATGGAAGTTATAAGCACTGAAGTGGCTGTGAAGAAAGGGGCAGCCCAGCAGCAATCTTGTAAAAGAGGAGATACTGTGGACAAACAGGGTAAAAAGCTGGTGGAGTGGTGGTACTTCGTGCGGTTTAAAGTCCAACACGTATATTAAAGACAGGGATATTCTCAGATAGATTTCAGGTACATTTGTCACAAAAACTGCATAGTCAACAGCTTACTGTAAAACCTGGACCAAGGGATGGAGAGGAACCAGAAGCTGAAGCTGAAGCTGACTGACGGGGCATAGATGGGTACTGAGCAGGATAGTTGCTCAGCAGCACAAAAGCACAGCCTCCAAAACCAGCACAGAACTGAAGCAGCCCCTGAGACTCACAAATACATCATCAGCTTCATATAGCGGCATGTCTTTGAACTTATTAGTGTTCATAAAATGTATTAATATTAATGAAATGTTTGAAATGAAAGTGCTATAGACCAAATGCTTCTGTATGCTCTTCCTTTCCTTTTAGTGAAAACTTGACATTAAATACTGAGGAACAGAAAACCCAGAAGGAAGAAAAAACTTGAAAAATGTTTTTCTCTCCTCTTCCTTTCTCGCCACTTACAGTTCATATCATGTTGCCACAAAGGGGGGTGGAAAACAGCCGCAGAAATGTAGCGACGGTATAAACAGCCGCAGAAATGTAGCGACGGTATAAACAGCCGCAGAAATGTAGCGACGGTATAAACAGCCGTCTTCTGCTCCTTCCGGCCTTTGTTCTTTGTTAATCAAGCGCAAAATGCATTTCTTATCAGTACTGAGGCTACCTGTATATTTGGTGCCAATTTTTATATTACATGGGGGTCAAAGTGAGTGCTAACATCAGTCATCTACTGTATGACAAACAATGTCACACCAGCAAACAGCTCACATTGCCTGGTAGAGTCTCTATCAAACATGGCATTCAATGTGTACCTCATTTTTACACAAATAATAAATGCTAAAATGATTTACTTACATCAGGGATATTAAAATGATTCAGGAGAAAAGTAAATAAAGTTCACTTTCTATGTTGTTAAGTGCCATCTTAAACCAGTTTAACCCCTGGGAGTCCGAAGGTGATTTGGAGCCCTGAAGAGATTCTGACATGTCCTGACATTTGTGTATTTTTCAGTTACTTTTAAACATATAAATGTCTAAAGTCTGATAACATTGTATTCAGCACAAACTGGGCTACAATAATATATGAGCAGCATGTATGTACAAGTCTTTATATTGGAGAAAAAAACAGCTATGCGTGATTATTGAAAACAACAAAAAAATAAGTCACTGAAATTAGACCACAAAACACATTCATGACATTTGTGTACAAGACTTTAATTGTGACCTGGATCTTGTAGTGTAGAGGTTTTACTTCAAAATGATGTGACAATCATCTCACTCACTCATTTACAGAAAACAATACATTCATTTAAATTTTCTAAGACACTTTTTGTTTAGAAAGAGTAAATTAAGGGGAAATAAACTATGATTTTGTGAACATTAACCACAGTGCTCTAGAACAGTAAGTGAGCATTAACCACGGTGCTCTAGAACAGTAAGTGAACATTAATCACGGCGCTCTAGAACAGTAAGTGAAGCCATGGATTTAATAACAAGTTGAAGCTCTTTTGGAAGCGATAACCTCAAACAAAACAAGAGCTCAGGAAACGCTTATTCACCCAAGTTAATTATATAGGGACTTTGGCTTCATGGGTTTAATAGTAAGATAAGGTGCAGATTTCTGGCGTGGTATGATCATTGGCATCAGGAATAGCGGCGCTTGCCAAGTACGATTCACCGCATGAAGGTCCGTAAGTTAATCCAGTGATATCTTAATGTTGATGTTGCATGACAGCTCCGCTCAAATTCATAATAGTGACATGCAGTGACATTTCTGTGGAAATACCTGGAAAACATAATAGGTAATCAATCTTCATTCTTAATAATTAATATTACCTTATATTTTGTACGAAAATCACTTTAACATACGGTGGTTTTGATACCCAGTTATTATCGAAGATGGAAATCTTCTTTGTCGCACTTTCTTTATAAAGGTGTATTTTCCTGGTCGAATCTGAACGCAACTTTGTGTAAAAGAATTTACAGGATATCAGGAGATGTTTGAGTTACGTGATATACTGTAAGGATGAGGCTGGCAACTGGACCGAGCGAAGGCGAACGCATGTGTATGCGCTATAATATGATACCATTTAAAAGCTAGTTTAAAAGAGCATGATTTCATTTTTAACAATTCTTTTCGATATGAAGTTTTTTTCTCTTCTGCAAAAATAGCATAGCCTATAGTAGCTGTAACTGATGTTCAGAAACAGTCGCTGATTATTAAAACTCTAGAAGGGTACGTTAACTGAAATCACACCGCTTTTAAAGTTAATTTATGTATTCTAATGTGTATGTGCTCACTCAGTATTGGGTACCTTTGGTGTCCTCAGTAGAGTGATTCGATTTTCAAACGAGTATCGCAAATTTTTTTTTAAGTTTTATTCTAATAGGTAAACATTTATGAATATATCATTCGTTTTGTTTTAAAATCCAGTGTACATGTTAATACCTATTTTAAGTGATTAAACAACTTAAAATGTAAAAAGACAGTTTCTTTTTGTTATAATTATGTATTTTCATAATTAAAGTATTTTGATAAGTTATAGTTGCATTTTGAACACATTGTAGCTGTCCACGCTGTCACACTGGGGTAACCCCCATTTAGGTGACTGGCTTTTGACGTCAACCATCTTACAGGCTGTATGTTGTCTTTCCCTTAGTGGAGTAAAAACAGCTCTTCTATCATCAGTAAGTATTTGCACTTATTTTTCCTAATTTTCCTCATACTGTGTCTGCCGTTGGCTATAATCAAGCTCGACACATCCATTCTGTGGTGGTGAAGTATCCAGTCAATTTATGTAATTTTAGAACAATAAATATGTTTTGAAACACTACAATGTCACTTTCAACAATTGCTGATTTTGCTAACTTAGGAGAAGTAGGTCAATCATATTCTGATAAAATTCTCACTTTAGCTAAAAATGTCTACCTTGTTGTCATCCACTCAGCTGTACTTACCCTGACAGAGAGCACATCGATGCCACATTATCACTTACATTTCTGTACGTACATTTGCACTAACCCTATTTAATCTGAGTACAGGGTCTCTAACTTGCTGCTAGTCAATGTTACATTGTTCCACGGTAACAATGGCATTCTCTAGTTAAAATGTTACACTGTAACAAACGCACTGTAATACACTGCGAACAAAACACAGATGTACTCACCCATTCACATATCCACAGATGCATGATGGGCACATACTGGCCTAGCTATGCATCATACACACTCTTTTGATGAAATTCTTGTCATTTTAAAAACTTGCAAAATGTCTTTTAAAAGGGACGACTCATGTTATCATCAGAATCAGACTAGGTGGGTAGTGGGCCAGATCTGGGGCACCTGAAATCAAGGCGAGGACCCAGGTGGGTAGTGGGCCAGATCTGGGCACCTGAAATCAAGGCGAGGACCCAGGTGGGTAGTGGGCCAGATCTGGCCACCTGAAATTAAGGCGAGGACCCAGGTGGGTAGTGGGCCAGATCTGGGGCACCTGAAATTAAGGCGAGGACCCAGGTGGGTAGTGGGCCAGATCTGGGCACCTGAAATTAAGGCGAGGACCCAGGTGGGTAGTGGGCCAGATCTGGGCCACCTGAAATTAAGGCGAGGACCCAGGTGGGTAGTGGGCCAGATCTGGGCACCTGAAATTAAGGCGAGGACCCAGGTGGGTAGTGGGCCAGACGAAGCTACAATATGTGACTCACATCAGAATCAGCATAATTTTGCTATCATTAGAATTTTTATTCATATATATTTTTTGTTTTGTTTTATTTTTGTTGATGGGCCGAATGGCCTCCTCTCGTTTGTAAATTTCTTATGTTCTTATGTTCTTATGTTTGTTGCTGGATGTTGTTGATTTGGTGAAAGAAACAAATATGAAAATCAAACAATTCGGAATTCACAAATATTTTGAATAAAAAAAAGAATTATCGTTGAGAAAGCAACTCAATATCTCACTGAAAACTGGCATTTCTTTTAGCACAATGTCATTAAAATATTTAAAACGGAATCTTTTCATTTTTGTCCATGAAAGCGTAGAGATAATTTGTGGTTGAATTACAAATTTCCTGCTTAGTGATGCAAATTAAAATGTTAAGCTTGACAAAGATATTTCCTCAGCAGTATGTGGCCTAAAGAATGTAATAAACTTTCCAAAAGTTAAATACATATTTTTTTAATTATTATTTGAGGTCCCATAGGTAGCCTATACTGAATGACCCACACACAGTATTGTGCAAAAGTCTTAGGCAGTCAAACTATTTAAGGTTATTTATCTGGGTAGGAAATGTATACAAGCCGTGGAAATGGTTGAGTCAAAAATGACATGGGTGTACTGGACAGTTGCTGCAAATACTGGGGCGACTTTAGGAGAAGTTTTGAAATAGCTAAGCTGACACACTGACACACATAATAGTTTTTGTATGTAAATTGTTTCATATTATAAAATGATTTGAATATTTCCATATAGTTCCTTGTTGAAGTGTCTTGTATATGAGTGTAAGATACGTATAAGATGAGTGTGTATGGAGTTGCATTTGTATGCACTGGAGTGGAACATGGGACTCGAGCTTCCTCTAGCTGTACCGTATTATAACCTTGTGTTTGGCGTAGCCGAGTCTGCAGTAACCTCAGTATATCATGGAAAAAATGACCTGCGTGGGCTGCTTCCCCAGCTATACAAGGAGGCCAGGCTTTAAGGTGAGCGCTACATCTGTCTGCTGTCATTTCTGTTGCCTCTGTCTGCTGTCTGTCTACTGTTGTGACTTGGTAACCTTGTTAAGCTGTCCTGCAGTTCCAGGCTTCACGGAAGCACGTCCGCCCTTTTCTACTGCAAATCATGGACGATTTAGTGGATGATGAGCTGAAGCGGTTCAAGTTCCATCTGAACACACAAGTAATGGATGGATTTCAGCCCATTCCAGTCAGTCAGCTAGAACGTGCCGACCGGACAGATACAATTAAGAAAATGAAAGACAACTATGATACTGAAGGTGCACTTCAGATCACTCACGCCATATTGAAGAAGATGGACATGAATGATCTGGCTAAAAAACTACAGAATATAATGAATATGGGTAAGATTTCTTGCACGGTCTGTGCATTTCACAATGATGATTGTACTGAAGACCCTGGTTGCCTGAAAGTCGATGTTGCTTTTTGAAAAAAAGAAACAAACATAGACACATTTGTCGTGCAGAACGATGTGTTTACATTTCCAAGACTAATTATTGGTAGGAAGTTATCATGAGCACAGTCACAAAGATTGCCGTAGTTATCATTTAGCATAAAACATTTTGACAGGCATAATAATCGACATATTGTTGGCACTATTGTAAGGAAAGGTTGTAGCTATCTTTTATTTTAAATCTTTGTTTTTTTTATACAATGGCTAACAGTTTTATAGATATGCATATATTTTATTTTTTCCCCAAAGCACGCTCTCCACCCAATAGTCTTAGCATAAGTTCTCGGGGTACAACATCTGTCACCCTAACCTGGGACCAGCCGAAGGGGATGGAGGACATTTCACACAGTTACAGTGTGACGTGGACGGACAGCAGCTCGAGCCAGAGCCATTCCATCATCACAGATGAGAACGAGGTTGTCTTGTCCAGCCTGAGACCAGGAACGGAGTACAGCCTCTCTGTGTGCACTATGCTGAAAGACACCGATCTCAAGAGTGAACCTGTCACCATCAAAACCTGCACAAGTAAGACCACACCTGTATGTCTGGAAGTCTTACCTTGAGCGAAGTTCATCTAAAAGCGCTGCTATATACTTGATAATTGCTGTAAAATTTAATATGTAACCACAAACTGCACAAGTAATACTTTTTAAACATCATCTGGAGTTTCAGTTACAGTGAAAGTAGTGACAATTTTATTCAACAGGGCATGAGCTGAGAATTGTGCTGTTAGGAAGAACTGGAGTGGGGAAGAGTGCAACTGGAAACACCATCCTGGGCAGGAAAGAGTTTAAGTCAGAAGTCAGCAACTACTCTGTAACAATGAGCTGTGCTAAAGCCAGAGGCAAAGTCTGTGGGAGAAAGATGTCAGTGGTGGACACTCCAGGCCTGTTTAACACGAAGCTGAGCAAGGATGATCTCATAAAGAAGATCACAGAGTGTGTTTCCCTGTGTGCTCCTGGGCCTCATGCATTCCTGGTGCTGCTGCAGGTGGGCAGATTCACACAAGAAGAGCAGGAAACACTGAACATCATCCAGGAGGTTTTTGGCCCAGAATCAGCTCGATACACCATGGTGCTGTTCACACATGGGGACGTTCTGGGTGACGCTGCTGACCGATTTCTTAGCGGTGATAAAAAGCTTAATGAATTCATTAAAAAATGCCAGGGTGGATATCATGTCTTCAACAATAAAGATGTATGGAATGTGACTCAGGTCACAGATCTGCTGGACAAGATAGAGGAGATGATAAAAAAGAATGGAGGAGGCCATTACACCAACGAGATGTTCATGAAGGCCAAGAAGGGCAGTGGGGAGAAGAACACGGGGGTTCTGGGAGATAAAGGGGAAGGAAAGAAAGAAAAGCAAAAAACTATGGAAAGAAAATCAACTGACCTAGAAGAAAAAAAGAAAAGGGACAATACTAAATAGTAACCCAGCATAAAGCATCAACAATCACTAGGAATAGTATATGATTTTCAGTGAGAATTAAATGTTTATTCAGTCTGCATAATATACGTTTGAGTGTGTCTTTATATAACTGTACTAGTAAATTAGTAAATTGTCATATTACTTCTACAATACAATCTTAGCAAGTTGATCACACCATATCCATGGAAAAAATTAAGAGAAAATAGCTCAATTTTTCATTTCACTTATTTCTCTACTTATAGATGTGTGTCTGTGAATAATATATATATTTCTGCAAAAGGCAGCGTTGTTATTCCCTGTTTCTTATTAATGAAGGGCTTCTTCTTTGCTTTATGGGACTTCAGTCCTGCTTCTAGGAGCCTGATACAAACTGTCCTAGCAGTGCACTTCACACCTGCACTTAATGTTTCCCATTCCTTTTGACGGTCAATTGATGTCATCATTCGATTCATGAGAAACTGTCGGATAAGTTAACAGCCATCTCTGGCATTAGAAAGTTGCTTCTGCCCTCTACCTGGCTGGTTTCTGGTGGTTCCCAGTGTCTCCTGCTTCACCTTGTTCTTGTGTCCTGCTGTCTTAGAAACATTGAATCTGGAAGCCACCTGCTGCTCAGTGTAGCCTCTGCCAGCAGAACCACGATTAAACCAGGATTTAAAAATGCTGATTTGTTTAAAAGTAAGCTTAAAAGTGTTCTAATTTTTTCCACAGCATATATTAGTGCTGAATGTATTGGTTTTCACCCAATGTATACTGAATATGCAGAATCCAGATGAATAGTCAAATTAGCAACTGTCTGGTTGTATAAAGAAAGACCTTAAAATAGTCTTCAACTTAAATATTTTCCAAATTCATTAAACATTTTGTACATTGTAGCTTTTTGTATAGTTTTTGTTTTCTAGCTATCGTTTGTTGATTATAGAATTAGCTACTTACACACATAAGCCTCTTTGTTTATATAACATTCATCAAATGTCACATCACTCTCCTTTGCCAGATTTTGTGGTTTGTCAGTAAGGATAATCTTTTCAGCAAAACCTTACATTTCACTGGATAAAGTTGTATTCTTTTAACAGGGATTGTCTGTGAGCACACTGATAAATTCATTGTAAGTTGTATTCTTTTAACAGGGATTGTCTGTGAGCACACTGATAAATTCATGGTAAGTTGTATTCTTTTAACA